CGAAAATCCTAGGCTTCAGCAAACAAATAAAGGTGAGTATGAAGAATGTTATTCAAATTATGTGAAATTAAAACCTGAACTAGATAGTCGAAAACAGTCGTTATTGTCGACACTTTTTACCCAAAGTTCAAAAAATTTAAATGATAACGAGAGTGATAAAAAATATGTGTCTTTTATTGTCGATTCAGGAGCGACTGAACATCTTACAAATTGTAAACAAATATTCAGTTCTCTTGATGAAACAAACGAAGGCAATTAAGTGTGCTAATCGGCAATGCCGATTTGGTTGCTGAAGGTCGAGGCACAGTTGGTATGTTTTCCAACACTGACGACAAAAAATCGCTGATGTTGGACAATACTATTTATACCAATTCGCTTTCGGAAAATTTACTTTCCTTGAGGAAATTCGCGGACGCAGGCTTATCAACCTACCTGGATAACGAGTGTGTCAATATTTACGACCCAAAAACAAAAGAAATTTACGCTTCAGGTATATATACGATAAACCCTATTAGTTAATAGAATTTGAGATTAGTAAAAAAGACCAAAGAAATCGAGTAAGCTCTTCCGATGTTTTTGTTTTTGACACGAGTGTAGATGAACAAAACGAAACAAACATGAAAGAATGGGTCATGCATCTGTTGATTACTTGCGAAAGCTGCAAAGCTTATGGAAAGACAATAAAGAACTACAAAATGTTACATTTGACGACAGTATACGAGAATGCGAAATTTGTGCTTTAATGAAATTATCGAAATTGCCGTTTCGAAATCATAGAAGTAGAGCAGTTCGTCCTTTGCAAGTGATTCACTCAGATGTCATGGGAAAAATCTCACCATCAACTCACCCTTTCGGCTATACTTACATCTCTGTGTTTGTAGACGATTATTCGCGTTTCCAATGAAAACAAAGGACGCTACAGGTCATTGTTTGGAACGTTTTATTAACACTGCAAGAAACTTATTAGGAATAAATGAAAAAAATTTCCTACTTACGTACGGATCAAGGTACTAAGTACATGGGAGGATATACCCAAGAGGTATTAAAACGAGAAGGAATTGAAATCCAACCTGCCTGTCCAGATTCTCCTTAACATAATGGAGTTTCGGAAAGGTTTAACCAAACTCTCCAGAAAAAAATAAGATCTATTATGTTTGATACAAAGCTTCCTCAAACCATGTGGGATTTGGCATTAGGGGCAGCAGTATATGTCTACAATCGAACTCCTCATCGATCAAACTACTATAAGGCAGCGCTTGAGGTGTTTGCCCCGAACTTAAATTACGATGTAAATCAAATTAAACGCTTTGGATGCTTGGCTTATTGGTCCATTCAAAGGAAACCTGATTCAAAATTTTCAGCACGAGCTGTAAGAGGAGTATTGGTGGGATATACTGCCTCAGGTTATATCTTTTTAAATCCAGAATCAGGAAAGTTCTTCGAATCTAGAAATGTACGATTCAATGAAAAAATGGTTTACGGTGATAAGTACAAAAATGAGTCTATTAAGGGAGTATTCTGGTCTATAGGCCTCAATTTCAGGGGTTTTTCCGAGTAGAATAAAAAAGAAAGTTTAACATTTTTAGTATTTACTTTTCTTGCAAGTTGTTTATTAATGTTTAAAAAGTACAGAAAAAAATTAGGAAACAAAATAAGAAAAAAATTTAAAAGTTATAAACTGATGAAGTGGGGACTGAAAAAAAGAAAGTGCGTACTGGTTGACAGTGTTGAGACTTTTGTAATGTTCTAAAACAAAATACTCAAAGAAATTCTTGATTATTAAAGGCTTCGCTATGGTCGGTACCTTGGAAAAGAAAAAATAAAATTTTTTAGCAAAATGGCGACGATTTAAAAAGAATGGTGTTTTTTGATTCTGTTTTTTAACTTTTTTGAATTTTTTAAAAATAGTAAAAAAACATATTTCATATGTAAGGTGTAAGCAATAGTTTCTTATCAAGTCAATTTCAAAATTGACTTGATAAGGAACTATTGCTTACACCTTACATATGATATATTCAGCCACAAGTCGAAATTAAAAAACTACATCTAATTATAATTAAAAAAAAATATTTTTCAAAATCCAAGGTTCCGACCATCAATAGATATACAAAGAACATTTCTGCAAAGTTTGAAGTAAATCGGATGAGTAGATTTTGAGTTATCGTGTCAAAAAGAATTTTTTTCAATTCCCACTTCACCAGTTCATAACTTTTAAAATTTTTGATTATTTTTTTTCCTAATTTTTTTCTGTATTCTTTGAACATTAATAAACAACTTGCAAAAAAAGTAAATATTAAAAATGTTAAACTTTCTTTTTCATCCCACTCGGAAAAACGCCTTAAAATTCAGGCCTCTAGACCAGAATACTCCCTTAAAGGCTGGCCAGACACAGAAACCGTACAATCAAAAAACGAATGGTTTTTAAAATTTGAGGACGACGACGTAAATAAGTTGGTAAACGACTGTCAGTTTTCAGGTTCGTAGGGAGAAGTGATAAGAAAACGTGGCAGACCTTGCAAACGACAGTTAAAAACGGAGGGAGATCTAAATGACACAAATAAACGACAAAAAGTACAACCAACAACTGTAAGAGATCCTTATAATACTCGTAGTCGCAAAATCGTTGATACGAGCTTCTCGAATTTTGTGGATGTCTTCTCTTTTTCAGAAAATTACGAATTTCCTTCAATTGAAGAAGAGTTTCTGAAAACAAAAGACAACCAATGTGACAAAATTTTATACTGCCTTCATGCAAAAATAAATGACGATCCTCAAACCTGTAAACAAGCTTTAGAATCAAATCACAAAGACGAGTGGCTTAATGCTATTGACGATGAGTTAAACTCATTAAAAAGGAACAAAGTTTGGATTTTAGTAGATCGCCCTAAGTTCGATAAAAATAGCAGAAAACATTATTGATTCAAAATGGGTGTTTAAACAAAAGGAGGATGGCAGCAATGTTACTAAATACAAGGCAAGACTTGTTATACGAGGGTTTAAGGACACAAATTTGTATAATTTAAAGGAAACTTATGCACCAGTTTCCAGATTAACTCTAGTAAGATCATTTCTAGCAACTATTAATTTTTACGATCTAGAAGTTTGTCAACTAGATGTGAAGTCTGCTTTCTTGAACGGTATCTTTGAAGACGAAGTATACATGGAAATTCCTGAAGGAATGAATGTTTCAGAGGAAACACGTCAAACCAAAGTGTGTAAAATTCTTAAAGCCCTTTATGGTTTAAGAATCAGTCCTAAACGATGGAATGAAAAATTCACCGAACTTGCAAATTCCATGGGATTGACTAACGATCAATATGATCCATGTCTTTTCACATGCAACTCCGGCAAAACGAAGGTCATTTTGCTTATATATGTGGACGACATATTATTAGCGAGTAACGATATGAAACTACTTTCGGAAATTAAAATCAAATTAATGAACGCTTTTGAAATGACTGATTTGGAAGAACCGAAGTTTTTCTTAGGCATGAATATTCAAAAAAATTAAAACACGAGAGTTATAAAAATAAACCAAGAAAAATTTATTGATAAAATTTTAATAAAATTTGGTTTTGAAAAAGAATTTGCGCAAAACACTCCGATGATTACACGACAAGCTGCAAATCACGAAAGACGACAGCGAGAAAATGACAGTGAAAGCATTAACGAAGGCAATTTAAATTTCCTATACAGAGAAGCTGTTGGCAGCCTCTTGTATTTGGCTGGTGCTACTCGTCCCGATATTGGTTTTGCTGTGACTGTACTTAGTCGTCATCAAATTAACCCAACCAAAAACGAGTGGAACATGGTTAAACGAGTTTTTAGATATTTGAAGGGAACAAAAACTCTGGGATTAAAATATCTCAGGAGACAAGATGGCCATGAGCCAAACTTGTCAAGAGCTCATCGCTATCAATAAGTCCTTAATGCGAATGCAAAACGAGAGTTTACTACCAGCTATCTTACGATGCGATAACAAGGCAGCAGCGATTTGTGCTCAAACGAGTTGAAGTAATAGATTAAGACATATGACGGAAGTTCATATGGACTATGTGCAGGAATGTGTTAAGTATAATCGAATCAATATTGTCAAAAAGACAATTGTCCGACATAATGACAAGACCCTTGAGCTACGAATCTCACACTGCCCTACGAGAGAAAATCTTGAATGACAAAGTTTTGTTTTCTTGAAATTGCTTTGCAAATGACTAATTTAATGATTTTACTAACTGAGCACCTTGTATCAAAATTCGTGTATTAACCTTATTGATTTTATTTTTCAGGAAACCAGTGAAAAGAAAACTTCTTGGATTCGCTATTAAGTTTTTTTATTTATTTTATTTTTATTTAACCGTTCGAAAAATGTTTCTTATGAAAATTATAATTTTATATTCTAAAAGGAAAAATATTTTTTTTGAGTTATACAATATATGTATATGTTAGGTTCTTCGAAATATACTACGTTGAGTGTATAATTATTGAGAATATTACATGTAAATTATTTATAATAGAGTCAATCTCGGGAGGGAGTCTCAGATTTGAGTTTTAAATTTAGCGCCAACGCCACCTTGATAATCTTGGGTACAAGCTTGACTCTAGTAGTTTTATGTTCTCGATATCCGGCGTCGGAGTGTGCGCGTCTTCTTCCGTTTTTGTCTGTACAAAAGAGAATCTTGCGACGCACGAGCGCTTCTTACTTTTGAATAAAGTATTCTGTTCTTTTCATTATTAAACCTTTATGTTTTCTTTATTAATACCCACTAAACAAAAACAAAAGTCAACACAATAATATATTTCTTAATTTTCTCATTTAGTAATTTTAGGTTGTACGAAATGTAAAACAAAATTTGTCCATCAAGGAGTAAAATTTCATTCTAATTTAAATAAAGTAATTAAATAATTACATAAAAAATAACAATTTGAAAAAATAGGAAATTAAAAAAATAGAATAGAGGAAAATATGGACAGGAACGAATAAAGATAAAATTTTCCCTTACTTCTTCAGCAACAGCTCGAATATTAGTGAATCCTTTTCTGAAAACGACAAAAACTTTTTTCGTCCCACATCTTAAGGCGGAAGTGGCACAATCAAAGGCCGTGTCTCCTGATCCAAGAACAATGACATTTCCATAAAGATTTGGTAAATTGTTACCCTTACAGGGACACATTCCTGGTTTACTGCCTTTTGCAACAGAGAGGAGAAAATTTTTCGAAGTAAAAAAGCCCATTTCAATTGTTAAATCGCTTAAAATTGAAACTGATGTTGGCTCAGGAAGGCCAATTCCCAAAAATATTACACTATAGCCCTCAGTTTTTAAACCCTAAAAAATATATAAGGAATGAATATATTTCTCTTACGAAAATATAATTTTTTCATTAAAAAAATTTGAAATGTGAACTTTAAGACCCTTTAACAATTTCTGAAACCATTGTGGAATTTCTGAACACATTTTTATAATTCTTGAACACTATTTTATAATTTCTGAAATAAATTTTTAATAATTGGACATTTATTGCTTTGGAAATTTAAAACATTGATTTTTGGTCTTTGTGCAAGGTTCATTAATGAAAATATAATTAAACTAAACTTTAAGACCATTCAAAAATTTCTGAAACCATTGTGAAATTTCTGAACACATTTTTATAATTCTTGAACACTATTTTATAATTTCTGAAATAAATTTTTAATAATTGGACATTTATTGATTTGGAAATTTCAAAAATTAATTTTCGGTCATTGTGCAAGTTTATTAATCAATTTTTAACCCAACTTTACTCAAAATTCTCTATTTTTTGGTCATATGCATATGGTTATTAAAATTCGCGTTTTAAGTTTTATTGTAAGGATTCCTTTCCGCTTACCCACATGAAAAAATTCCCGGGAATTTCCCAGGAGTGAAAAGACAAATGAATACAAAAAATTTATTTTTTACTTCCTGGAATTTCTCTGTCTAATACCCAGGAACTTTTTCTCGTGTGTATAAAATTTGAAATTTGACAAAAATAAAACCTGGATAGTCAGATCCTTTTTTGAGAGACTCCGTCCAAATTCAATTTTCACTCCCAAATCACGAACAAGATCCACTTCAAAATTAACAACATCAAATGGAAGTCGATATTGTGGAATTTCTGATGTACTTAAACCGCCAACAAAATTTTCCTTTTCAAAAATTGTAATATTGTCGTAGCCCAAACGAGCCAAAAATGTTGCACATGAAATTGAGGCTGGACCACATCCAATTAGGGCAATCTTTGTCTCTGCATTGCCAATCGACTGGCCAGGAATTCTGGTTTGAGGAATTTTCATTTTCTTAAATATCTGAAAACATTGGTTTTTTTTGTAAAATAATAATAATCAGTTTTTATGGGGTAAATTGGGGCAAATTTATGCAATTTTAAGACACACACAATTGATACAAAATGGGACAAGAAAAAAATATTCTTCTTAGACCACTTGTCCAGAAATGAGAAGCATAATTCCTAAATGACAGTTTTACCCCAGAAATGGGGTTACCAGGTAATTTAAGGAATATGTTTCTAGATTTTTATTCATTTTTTCTGGATTTTGGGTAGAAAAAAATAATTCAGAAAGTAAAAAATATCATTTAATATCATTTAATTCACCATTGACAACTTTAAGTAAAAAATCTACAAATTCCGTTTCTTGTGGTAAAGCTCTTATATTAACTCTTAATGTGTATTTTTTGAAATATTCCTATAGTTTACTATTTTTTATTGATAAATTTACTATTTCTGATTTAGTACCCCGTTCTTTAATTGGTAAAGTTTGTCGAAAATCTCCGCCTAGAATTACAATTTTACCACCAAAAGGTTCGTTGGAATAGATAATCCATAATTCCTAAAGCATATTTTAGAGCCATTGGTGCTTCATCCCAAATAAAAACATCTATATTTTTTAAAAAAAGGCCTTCTAAAGATTGAACTTTAATGTTTGAAGATAAATCACTGTATAATGGAAAGGGTAAGCCTAAAACTTTATGAACTGTTTTTCCATTAGGAAGCAGAGTCGCAGCTATACCTGTAAATGCCATGTTGCAAACATTTATTCCTTTACTTCTTAACAATTGCAATAGAACCATCAAGAGAAGAATCCTTTAGGCCATCAAGTACATAATCAACTACAAGTTTTTGTTTTACATTTAATTTAGCATAATTCTGTTCTCCTATGTTAATATGTTCTGCAATATTTATATCATTAACTTGTTTAGTAAAAATTTCATTTTGTATATCTAATAACCCCTTAAAGTCAGTTAAATTATATCCTTCGTTAAATAACATTGTTTTAATATTTCTACAAGCCCTTTGTTCAGCTTCAATGTCGTTTATTTTTTAATAATCTTCTGACATTTGACCCTTAAATTGTTCCCATATATAGTATATCCGGCTGTACAGGATCCATAATGCAGCTTCTTCGATTGTCCTAATCCACTCACTATCATCTTCTACAAGTCCTAATGCCAAACAAGCAGTTGTAAAAGATTCATGAACAACTCCATTAACTGTTCTCAAACTTTCAAAAAAAGTTGATCCTTTTACTGTAAGCAACAATAATCTAAAATTAAATAACTCCAATTGATGTGGATTAACTGAATACATTTCTCCCTATACTTTTACTTTACGAATTCTTTGTTTCCATTTAAGAGATTAACAAAATCATTAATCATTATTAACCCATGTATAATGCTCTGGCATTTCTGAATAATAATACTTTTGAGCATTACTATCTTGTTGATTAAGTTTAAAATAATCCAAAACTTTTGTATTTAAATCAAAAGAAATGCCGTTACTATCTTTTTGTTTTCGAATAATAACATTCTGTTCATTTGGCAAATGTATGGGTAAGCGATTAACGCTATGACTCTTTTTCTCTAAAGGTATACCTAGAATTCTCCAAATTGCCTTACCATTCGCATTTTTAATAACAATAGATGCATCATCATGCCCTTTGAGAATATATTTATATAAATATTTAACAGACTTTATACTCAAAACTATTTCTACATTAATATGTCAATTAAATATTTCTGAAAGTTTAGGGCAATACGGAACAACATTAGAATTATCAACAATAAATCCATTTGGTCGTTCATACGCTTTATTATTATTTCTTCGACGACAATGAACATAGCAATTTTCTTCAATTGTAGTTTCTTCTTTGTAACTTTTTGAAATTTTTTTGAATATTTCCCATCAATTAACCACCAATCTCCACAAGGTACGTAAATATTATTTTGCATTATTATTTTATGTAAAATAGGATTGATATTTTCATCAGGAATTTCTGCAGAAATATAACGATCAACACTTTCAACTGTTATTATTTTAGAATTGTCTTCCAATATAACTAACAAATGAATGTATGGCAATCCTCGCTTTTGAAATTCAATAACATAAACATAAGATTTGACTTCTCCAAATAATTTATTATCAACAATAGGTTTAAGTAGATGTTTAACTTTTAATGCGAAAACCCTAGTTACTATATCAGGTCTATCAGCAGCAGTTTGATAGGGGAATAAATTTGCCTGTATCTCCTTCCAATTTGGATTACACGTCATTGTGATAAATAAATCTGGTCTACCATGACGAGCAACAATAGCCATCGAATCCTGATATTGTTGCATCATATTGCGAGGTGATGCTATAAAAGTAAAAGGCAATATAAGCGTTTTTCATACGTGTACATCATTTTCCAACACATGATTGTGTAAATAATCCATCAGTCCTTTATATCTTTAACTTCTCACTTAAGCTTGATTATTTGCACAAAATCTTAATCTATCTTTTTCTATTTTTACATCATTTTCAACCACCTATTGTTGAAACAATCTACCTCTATATAAAAATTGATTAAATTCTTTATCTCTTACAGCAATTTTGTATTTAATGTAGGCAGACCTAGAAATAGTATGATTTCTAATTCGGTAATCACTATCACTACGAATCATATTAATATTATAACCCTTATTTCCAAGTGGATAAAATATGGGATAAATCCATGGTTCAACATTCGGATCTAAATTACTAACCAATTTCAATTCCTTTGTAGATTTATTATAAACCGTTTCATAAGATTCTGGTATTTATTCTTTAGAGTTTGTATTAAAAATTGCAGCAACTTCATTAAAACTTTGAGAATTGTATCTATTTTTATCAAAGCATTTTTTCAACGTGAACAATAATTGTAACTCAGGAATATTTTCATTATTTGTCTTGCTAATTCAGCTTCTATTTGAATTACCTCTGACATCATCATGTGAAATTTTGTGTATGCATTAGAATTTCTCATAATATTTTCTATAGATTTTAAACCGTCTTCATCCAAATTTTCGATACGTTTTAATCTGTATCTGATTGATTCCTCAGGGTCATAAATAAATAATTGACCAAAACATGGATCCTCACCTTTATCAGGATATAAAGCAGTATTAATTTGATAGTAAATTTGACCTTGAATTTTGTAACAGAATAGTCCTCTTCTTCTGCCATTGAAATTAATTACATTAGCATTTAAAGAAGCAAAAAAAAAATTATACAGCCTTATATTCTTTTAAAAATGACCTGATTTTTTATGAAACCCTTCTAACAAAAGCCTTAATTCATCTGGATATTGTATTAAAGTTAACACAACACCTCCATGACTACAGCAGTCATTAAAACTAACTTCTTTACCAGTAACTTTTTCATCTTGAAAATGTTTAGCTTGACAATGTGTGCAGTAATTATTTATCGGACCAAGATAATTTTCAACATTCAACTCATTTTGAATTTGATGCTTTGATACTCCTTCACAATAATTTCTTTGACATCGAGTATTCTTTGTTTTTAACAAAGAACTTGTATCATTATTTTTATTTTTTTATTTAACGTTCTCAGCATATTTTATTTTGGATTCGACTTGAAGTTTTTTCTTAGTTAAAGTGTGTTTTTCACTTAATAATTTACGTTATCAATTGTACGTTTTAATTTTTGCCTCTCACGATAATTTTTTTGAATTCCAGCCCTATTTTCTTTAAGTGTTTTTGATGCAATATTTCTTTCTTTATTTCATTTATAATTCTCTGGTTGTTGATCAACAGTTGTGAAAACTACTGGTGGTTTAAAAGGATATAATCTAATTAAATAATTTCTTTGATCATGATTTAAACATCTTTTATTAAGACTATCAAAAATGTAAAGGCTTATTTCAATTTCATCATAATAAGTACAAATCCAATGACCAGATTTATAAGTTTTACTAAAAAGTATTTGAATGTGCTGCTTACTTTTCTCGTTTGGTACTATCAAATCAATTGTTTGTAAACACAAAGTATTTTGCATATATTAAAAAAAAAAATTTGATTTTCTTTCCAATAGCTTTTGAAATTCATACATAAATGATCATTATTTAGCATTGCTCCTTCAGTGACAACAATACTTAAATCATGAGTAGTCGAATTAACAGTTTCTCCTTTGTTAGACATTCTTCTTTTATTTTATAAAATTTACTTATATCAAGGAATTATAATTTTAAAAATAGTAATATTACATTAGAATTTGAACGTCAAGTTTTATACATTTAATTATAAATTTTATAATTTCCTTTAATCCAATGTTACAAAATTTTGCCTCTTATAGAAAATAACAACAAATTTACAATTCTCTCCTTATTCAAAACTATCAAATTTTTCTTTCTATCAAATATAATCAATGTCCAATTTTGTCTTTCATCCAATTTAACTAATTTTTAATTTTGTCTCTTATCCAATATTTAACCAATTTACAATTTTTCCTTTTCTCAAATTTAACCAACTTCCAGCTTTGTTTTTATCCAATATAAATAATTTACAATTTTTCCTTTTGTCCAATTTAGCCAATTTCCAGCTTTGTTTTTATCCAATATAACCAATTTACAATTTTGCCTTTTATCCAATTTAACCAATTTCCAGCTTTGTTTTTATCCAATTTAAACAATTTCCAGCTTTGTTATTATCCAATATGATCAATTTCCAGTTTTGTTTTTATCCAATAGAACCAATTTCTAATTTTGCCTTTTATCCATTATAACCAACTTCTAATTTTGCCTTTTATCCAATATAACCAATTTCTAATTCTGCCTTTTATCCAAATAAACCAATTTCCAGCTTTGTTTTTATCTAATTTAACCCTTTAACGACGAGATGTGCTACTTTTCAACATGAAATTCAATCTCTGACAATTAGTAGAAAAAAGCCATAAAAGTTTTTAAAAGTCCATACCCTACTGTTTTTGGGGTATTTCGAATGGTGTGGTCAAAATTTTCAAAAAATGATATTTAAC